GGGGGGTGATGGGGGTTAATTGTGGGGAGACCCTGGTGAAAACCTGCCTGCTCCTCCCTTCAGGTACGTGAAGACATACCTCCTGCCTGACAAATCCCGGCAAGGGAAACGCAAGACGACCATCAAACGCAACACCATCAACCCCCTGTACAACGAGCTGCTGAAGGTGAGTGGGGATGGGCTGGGGTGCAGCCCGCTCCCTGCTGCGGGGCCAGGCAGGCACTTGGCCCTGGGGATGCTGCTGGAACAAACCAGGGGACAGATGGCTCCAAACCCTGGGGTGGGGGCTCTGCAGAGGACCCATGTCCAGACACTGCACCCTGAAAGCGGGAAAAACCCACTCGCAGGCTGGGTCACGGCTCTGATGTGGCTGGGGTGTCAAGCCCCGGGTGCCACGGTGGGGCGGAGGCACAGCTGCAGATGTGAATGTGTCCTGGCTCCTGTGGCATTCCCCAGAGCAGGGGCCTTCTGTTTATCCCCGGACATTGCTTTCCTGTGAAGAAGGCTCCTGGGCCATTGCAGGCAGGTTGCAGAGGTGGGAGGGCGGGCAGCATGGCTGCAGGGGCAGAGATACGGCAGTTCTAGGCCCCAGGGCAGAAACACTTGGCGCTTCCCTTCACGGTCCCTGCTGCGGCCACCACAGGGTGGTGGGAAGGGCTGGCTCCATCCCTGAGCCTGGCAGCGCATCGCTGAGGCCAGGCACTCTCCAGACAGGAGGGAAGTGGGAACTGTGGTTGGGTTTCCAGGCTCCCACAGCCCCGGGTTTGCTGAGGTCTTGCTCTCTGACCACCTTGAGGCTCAGAGGGCTGGCAGAGCTTTGCCTGTGTGGGATGGGGTGGGGTGGCCGGATGCCGTGAGTCCTGGTCCTGGCTCTGCACAGGCTCTGAGGACCACTAGCCTGGAGAGCACGGGGTCCTGCAGCACTGCCCCAGGACTTTGAGGTTTCAGCAGGCTTGGAAAGGAAGACAGTCTCCTGCGTGCATCCATTGCTCCTCAAACCTGTCTCCTCTCCTGCTCGAGAGCTGTGGCTGATGGTGTATGCCAAGCCCGTCCCCTGCCTGGCGCTGCCTGCTCATCGGTGGTTTTCCTGTCTCTCTTCCTAGTACGAGATTAACAAGTCCCTCCTGCTTGCAAGGACGCTGCAGTTCTCGGTCTGGCACCATGATCGCTTTGGCCGAAACACGTTCCTGGGGGAGGTGGAGGTCCCGCTGGACGCCTGGAACTTTGAGAGTCACCTGGAGGAGTTTCTGCCCCTGCACGGCAAGGTCCTGGCCCTGCCACCCCAGCCCTGCTGCCCACAGCAGCCGCCCTTGCCTGTCCCTGTCCCGGGGGTGACCTTCAGTTGGCTGAGGCGTACAGAGACCTCATCTAAGAGCTGCCAAAAGGCTTGCCCCAAGTCAAATCTTGGAGAAACGAAGACCCCAGAGCAGATAGCAGTAGTAGTAAAAAAGGGAAGATCTTCTGCCTTAAGCCTAGCTTCCCTCCTCCTCATCAGTATATCCCCTATGGGATGCAGTGGGATGTCTGTGCTGCGTCAGGTGTTTTCTGCTTGCTTGATTGCTCCAAGAGTGCAGCTCTTCCCAGCTCCCTGCCCCAGCCGGGAAGAATTGGAGCCAACTTCAGGGAAACAAATGGGGGAAATTGGTTGGGACATCCAGCTGCGGGCTGTAGAGCCGGGCAGCGAGGGCCTTCGTGCAGCTCAATGGCAACAGCAGATGCTGCTGCTGGGCTTACAAGTCTGGTACTCTTGACTAGCTTGTACTGTGGGCTCAGCCCTTGGCGTTGCTGGGGCTTGAGCAGCTTGTGGAAACCCCTAAAGAGGGTTTCCTAAGGGAGCTGGTTGAGCCAAAGTAGGATCCCAAAGGAGCTGGTCTGAGTTTGACCTGGTGATGCTGGGGAGGGCCTGCAGGCATTTGTGCCGGTTAAACCACCCCTAGGACAAGCCAAACTCTTTGGCCCAGCATGGGGAGGTGCTGCATGCAGACCAGGCCATCACCATGTCCGGTTTGGCCTCTAGCAGTGTTTGACAAGCCTTGCCTCTTTGCAGATTGGGGCAGATGCTGCTGGTCTCCACCAGTACAAGGGGGAGCTGGTCGTCTCCATGAAGTACATCCCATCTTCCAAGCACCCTGGGGCTGGGAACAGCAGGAAGGGTGAGTGCTGGAGCTCCAGGATCTCTGTGTAGCCTGCGGGACCTGCTCGTGGTCCTGCAAGCTGAGTCTGAGTGGGTTTCTTGGGTGGTGCCACTGCAGCCCTCTCCTCTGCAATACCTGCAAGGCTGCTCTGGGTCAGGGCAGACCTGGCTGTCCTCAGGCTGGCCGAGTGGTTCCAGTGCTTTCCTGGGACTGGACCAGGCTGGACCGTTGGGCCCCGTGTGGAGCAATTGTCTGCCTTCGCCTCAGCAGGCAGGGCCAGTAAGGGAGGAGGCAAGAGGAGATACCAGCT